CAGGCACTGCCCCATGCACCATCCCCACGGCAATGACACAGTCCTGGTGGCTGCAGGGGACAGGACGGGGCCCGCGGGTGCAGCCGAGCGCAAGGGAGCAGCTGAGCAATGTCTCGCGGAGCATGAAGAGCCGATCCTCACGCTCTGCTGGCTGGGCACGCTCCCTCCCAGCTCCTCACGTCCCCGGGGCAGGGGGTCAGTCCGAGGAGACGCATCCTGCGGGTACCAGCCCTGCTGGGGAACACCCAGTGCCGTGGCTGCCTCCCAGTGCTGGGGGCATGCTGGTCCCCCAGCAGAGCACCCCCTGCCCGTGGCTCAGAGCCCCAGCAGGCTGCGTTAGGGGCTCACGCTCCCCCAGCTCCTTTTATCTGGAAGCCTCCTGCCCTGGCTCACCATCAGGCAGGGCTTTGGGCCAACTGGGCTGCTCTCTGGTTGCCTTTGCTCGCTGGTCACCCACGAGGGAGCCAAGCTAGGGGATGTCCTGCTGGCTGTGGGGCCAGGGGAAGGATGGCATCCCCATGCGCAGCGGTGTGGCTGGAGCACCCCCGGCCCCAGCGCTGCCCTCCCCACACAAGCGCTGCAGCTCCCGTAATGTATTCATCCCAGGGTGCCCCGGTGCAGCTGCAATATCATTATTGGCGTTTATTACACCATTAGCTTTAAAGTTTTATAAACCACCAGGCAGGTGACAAGTGGCAGGGGGGACCCAAGCAGCGGGCAGGGGGCTGTGCGGGGATGGTGCTGGGGGCTGCCCCAGCGGGGTGCAGGGTTTGGTTTGCCCCCATGGTGGTGCTTTCACGGGCACTGCAAACCAGCAGCACCCCGCAGCAAGCCACACACAGGGCTGACATCTTCCTCCCAGCCGTGACGGGCAGCCTGACACCCAGACCCTACTGAAAACCACCCCCTAAATTCCCGCAGGAACAGCCCCAAAGCCACAGGCACCCGGCGATGTATTTCAGGCAACAGCAGAAGGTGCGCAGGGCACCTTGCGAGAGCTCGTGCACATAGCTCACAATAGGGACTTCGTAATTGAGGTTTTGCGCTTAATGAAGGAATAAATTGAATGGGAGTGTTGTCCTTAATTGGGGTGTTGCATTAATTAAGGTATTGCACTTCGTTGGGGTAAGGCGTTTAATAAGGAACTGCATTTAATCAGGTATTGATGTGAGCGGGGCGTGTTAACGGGGGTGTGGCACCGCAGGTGTGTCTGCTGGCCCTCAGCTCTCACCTGTGGCTGTGGTGCCAACCAGGGGACAGGTCCCCACTTGAGGGGTCCAGCACAGCCCTGCCACGTCCCAAGGGATGGGAGCAGGGCAGGGCTGCAGAGGAACTGCTGCTGCGCTCCCCATCCCAGCCTGCAGCCCTGCCTGCACCACCCAGCCCCCCTGGGTGCCCCCCTGGGTGCCCCCCTGGGTGCATCCTGCTGGCAGCACCACTGCCCCTGGTGCCCCTCGGATGTCTCCCCAGCACCGTGGCACAGCCGTGCCCCCCGCAGCAGCCCCGCTCTCCCCTAATGGGAGCGGACACCCTGTCACCCCGCATCTCCCCGGAGCCGCGGCACGCACACGAGCCGCGAGCACGCCGCCCAGCTTGGTAAAGCTGCTGCCTTCGCAGGGCTCTGGGAGCTTCCGAGTAGATAGGAGTGCTGCGGCCAGCTGGGCTCCGCAGCCACGTTTCCTCCAATTAGATCAAAATTAATGATTGCCCCAGATCCGCTCCCCGGCAGGCACGGGGCTGCATCCGGCTCCGCAGCACACGGGGCTGGCGAGGGGGGCGCAGCGGTCGGGTCCCTCTGCACAGCCCAGCTCTGTGGGCTTGGGGTGGTGGCACCGAGCAGGCAGGTCGGGGGCCAGCTGGGACCAGGGGGGTGATGGGGATGCTGCTGGGGCTCGTCCCTCCAGCAGGTCCCCCTGTCCCCCGTCCTGCTGCCTCCTGTGCCCAGGGCTGGTGCTGGTGGCTGGGAAGGGGGCAGGGGGACCCTCACTGGGGTCTGTGTGTGCGTGGCCCCTCCAGGGGAGGGCGCACAGCAAATAATCGATCTCTCCTCTCGGTGGCAAGGCAAGAAAGCCACAAACAAATCCTCTTCCAGATTGGCCTGAGAATAGAGGAGAGCAGTGGCTGTGTCTCGGAGGGGATGAATCATTGTGAGCGTGCTGCAGGGCACCGGGGCAGGATCAGTCCCATGTGCACCCCTCCAAATGGGGGGCACCTTCCCCTGTGTGGGGACTGCCACCTAACCCCTGCTGCCTCTTGCAGCATGGAGGAGCCCTGATACACCAGAGCTCTCCCCCCCCTCCCCCTTCTTCTGTGCTCACAGCAGTTATTTTGTCTGAGGTTGCAGCCTCTGCTCTCGCCCAAACCCCCAGTGCCTCCAGCCGGTCTCCGTCACTGCTATCTGTTATTGCCATCCTCTGCACTCTTTCCAATTAGTCTGGATTTTTCTTGACGTCTGGTCCTGGACCAGGCACAGGGCGCCCGCCGAGGCCTCGCCAGCAGCAAGAGCTTCAGCTGCCTGGTGCATGCTGCCCCTCCTCACTGCAGCCCCCAGCGCCGTCCTCCTTCCCACAGCTGCAGGGCAGCCGCTCATCCCCTGTGACAGGGGCACATCCCCCCCAAAAAGCAAGGCTTCTTCCCTCCTTCCCTAGCTCCTGGCTGCTTCTCCAAACAGCTGGGCAGCTGGGAACCTGGCTTCTGCCTGCGCAGACACCCGCACCTGCACGGCTCCTCCTGCCTGGGGGTTCAGCCCCCCGCACGCGGTGCGCACCCAGCTGGAGCCGTGCCGGGTGTCACATTCGGAGTAGCTGACACCACCGCTGCCCGCTGCCGGGGCTGCCTGTGCTCCCCGACCCAGCCCAGATCTTTGCGCTTGTCCTTTCGAATCGGATCTGATTGTTTTCAGGCCATTTCTCCGATTTGTCAACATCATTTCAGATTCCAGCCCTGTTTTCTCCAGCCCTCACGGCTCCCCCCCCCGCCATCCAAGCACGGCACACCAGGACCTCGCCGCTCACCCACCCGAGCCTGGGGGTGCAGGGCAAGTGAGGGGGACCCCAGTTCCCCAACCTGCCTGCTCACTTGCATGGTGGCAGCCCTGCAGCATCCTCCCTCGCTGCCTCTCTCCCCCCGTGCACGCGTGCCGTGCTCAGCCGCAGGTGGGGGGCTCCGGTGCAGAACAGCGAGACGCGAGATGCTGCCAAGTGGCAGCGAGGGCTGTTCCCAGCTGGTGCTTTCCTCGCTGCCTTGTCTGCTCCCAAGGAAAAGCAGCCCCTGAGCCTTGCTGCCACCCCTCTCCCTGGCCCTCCCACCCCAGCGTTAGCTGCCTGTGCTGCACTGGGAAGTTGGGTTTCCCGGCTGGGTTTGTCCCCATTTGGGCAGCGGGCATCTCCAGCAGCTCCCAGCCTCCCTGCCAGCTCCACCCGTGGTGCACAGCCCATGGTCCTGCTCATTGCCCTGCCCTGCAGAGCGCTGCCCACAGCCACAGGATGGGGCTTGTGTCCTGGGTGCTGCTTATTTGGGTACAGCTTGATCCCAATCCTCAGCCCAGCCACACTTCAGACTATTTCTGGGGTCCAGTGGGCCTGGTGGCCAGGCAGGAACAGGGCACAGCAGGGTAGGAGAGGGATGAGAGGCGCGGGGAGAGGACATGTCCCTGAGCAGAGTGGAGGGTTTATGAGGATGTCCTGTAGTCACACAGCGTGGTTTGCCCAAAGGATCTGGGGCACGGACCCTGCCCCTACACCACGGACACAGCAGGGGCTGGCTGACAGCATGGAACCGCCCTGGCAGCCCCTCGTTGTCCTCACACCCCTTCCACCGTGCCCCTGGGAGACACAGGCAGGGGTCCCTGCAGCCTGGGGCTTGTCGCTGCGTGGCTGGGGCCTCTCACAGTGGCAGCGCTCCCTGCCACGCTTCGGTGGGCCGGGGGCACGGGGTTGGCACGTGCACGCCGCATCCCTGGGGCAGGGGGAAGCAGGCGGCCGGGGCCGTGCGTGCTCCCCGCCGGAGGCAGCCTATCATGCCGTATTGACCCGCACTGGAGGCAGGAACATGTGTGCCATGCACGGATCGATGGGAAGATTGAAGATGCGTGTGCGCTTGCCGGACGGCTGGGGGAAGCTTTGCCGTTGGCACCGGCAGCGCAGTGAAGGTCACGCTGACCTGCGGCGCGCTCCCCGGGGAGAGGCGAGGCCGCTGCCGAGCTGCTGGGGGTGTGTGTGGGGGGTCTCACGCCCTGTGCTGCCGGACCCCGGCCTCCCCATGGGGCACGGAACCCCCAGGGAGAGCCGCATCTCCTGGGGGCTGCTTGGTGGAGGCAGGGAAGCGGTGGGGAAACTGAGGCAGGGACACCACGGTGCCGCGCAGGGGAGCGGCTGGTCCCAGGTGCCGGTGCCCCCCACCCTCAGCCCGGCCCCCAGCCCAGCGAGCAGAGCAGGCAGAGCCCCCCCAGCTGCGGGCAGGACGGGGCAGCAGGAGAGGGGGTGCCGGGGGTGCTGCGGGGAAGCCCCGCGGCTCTCCCCGTCCCGGGGCTCGGCGCCCGCCGGGTCGGGGCGCAGCGTGCCGCGGCAGGGAGGCGGTTAACGGCCAGGGAGCCGCCGAGGCAGGAGGAGTCCGCGGGCGGGCGAGCAGGAGGGGGCCGCCGGGCGAGCTGCCCGCAGGCTGCCCGCCCCCGCCGAGCCGCCCCGAGCCGTGCCGAGCCGCCCCGAGCCGCTGCCGATGCCGTGCCGAGCCGCGCTGCCCCGGGGCGCACGGGCCGGGGCGAGGCGCACAGCGCGGCGGCGGCGGCGGCGGCGGCGGCGGGGGGCAGGCACCGTGCCCCGCCCGCCTCGGCACGGCTCGGCACGGCACGGCACGGCACGGCACGGCTCGGCACGGCTCGGCACGGCCACAGCATCACAGGGCACGGCTCGGCACGGCTCGGCTCAGCGCGGCATCGCACGGCTTGGCTCGGCGCGGCGCGGCACGGCTCGGCACCGCTCGGCGCGCATCGGTTCCGCTCGGCTCGGCGCGGCTCGGCACGGCTCGGCACGGCACGGCTCGGCTCCGGCAGGTCCCGAGCCATTCAAACAAGTGGCTCCCGCAGCACTTGGGAGCCGGGGCTGGAGAGAGGGCGCGGAGCGGCTCCCCCTGCCCCGGAGGCGCGGGGCCCTTCACACTGCCTCCTTCTCTGGCGCTCGCTCTTTATTTGACGATGAAATAATGTTGACATGTCTTGAATTATTAAGTATTCCCTGGATTTTATTAGCACATGATGCCTAAATGCTGCCTGTATCTGCCGGGGTCTTAACCAGAGAGGAGCGAAGGAGAGAGGCAGAGACACAGAGCGAGGGAGAGGAGAGAGAGGGGTTTTTGACAGCTGTATTTGTGCTGATAAGCGAAGGCACAAGGAGACGATCGACTAGTGAGACAAGAGGGAAGCGGCAGCTCGGAGCTGCTGAGAGGGGCTGCGCTTCCCTCCCGAGACGGCTCGGCCCTCCCGGCGCCGTGCTGGGGCTTGGGGGGGACCCGAGCCCCCTCCCAGCGCCTGGCCGGGCTCTCGGCCGCTGCCCGTGCCGGGGGGCAGCCCGCTGGCTGGGCACGCCGGCCGCGCGGGGCAGATGCCGATTGAGATCGTGTGTAAAATCAAATTTGCCGAGGAGGATGAGAAGCAGAAGGAGAAAGAAGAAGGGGACAAGGAGAGCCTGATCGAGGAGCCCGCGCGGCCCCGCTCCCGGGACCTGGCCGCCTTCGCCAGCGCCAGCACGCTGCACGGCCTGGGGCACATCTGCCGCTCGGGGCGGCTGGGCGTGCGCCAGACCCTCTGGGCGCTCGCCTTCCTGGCCTCGCTCGCCTTCTTCCTCTACCAGGCGGCCAAGTCGGCACTGCTCTACCTGGAGCACCCCCACGTCATGGCCCTGGACGAGGAGGCCATCCGCGAGATGGTCTTCCCCGCCATCACCATCTGCAACATCAACCGCTACCGCCACTCGGCGCTCACCGACGCCGACATCTTCCACCTGGCCAACATGACCGGGCTGCCCCCCAAGGACCGCGACGGCCACAAGGCCACGGACCTGCTCTACCCCGACCCCGACATGGCCGACATCGTCAACCGCACCGGCCACCAGCTTGACGACATGCTCAAGAGCTGCAACTTCAGCGGCGAGAACTGCTCCTCCCGGGATTTCACTGTGGTGAGTGCGCAGCCCCGGGGACGCCGCCGGCGCTGGGGGGGCTCTGACCCCGCCGTGTCCTCGCCGCAGCGGGGCTCCCCGGCTCGCTCCGGCTGCTGAAGTTTTGCATCTCTCCGTGTTCGAGTTTCCCTCCAAGTTTCACATGGAGAGAGAGAGAGGATCCTCCGTGGGAGCTCTCTGCTGCAGGACCGCGCTGCCGGCAGCTCCGGGGCTGCAGGAGGGGGTCGTGGGCAGGAGCGGGGGCGGATGGGGGAGCGGGGCGCAGCCGTCCCCGGGGTGGGCGAGCAGCAGGAAGGGGAAAGCGGTGGCACGGAGCCCTGCTCCAGCCTCTCCTCACCACGGGTTGAGCTGCTCCATCGCAGGGCATTTTGCACAGCAAGAGTGCAATGGGGGGGCCGGGACCCCTTTGCACGTAGGAGAGCCCCCCTGCCTTCGGGGGTGTGCACTGGGATGTGTGTGAATGCGGGAGGCTGTCAGCATTGCACACTCGTGTGTGTGTGTGTGTGTGTGTGTGTGTGCAAATGCACGTGCCCAGCACCCCCAGAGGGTCTGCTTCGGGGCATGGCCACATCCGGGTGCCCTGGGGGCCACCCCCACAGCTGGGGGTCCCCGGACCCCAGCAGCACCGTGCCCACCCAGGCAGCGAGCTCCCAGCCGGGCACCGCGACTGTGCGGCTCTCGCTAATGTTGAGCCTGGAATCACAAATCCCCGCTGTGGTTTGGGGAAATAAATGTGCTGAACGGGCGGAATACCTGATGGGACCCCTTTCAGCCCGTAATGACTCTGGAAATGAGCCGCCTCTCTGCTCCGGCTGCCAGGGGCTGCTGCTCTGCTTGCTCGCTGCGCTCCCCGGAGCAGCGCTGCCAGCCGGAGCCCGCTCCGTGCCTGGGGAGGGGGGTGCGATACCGGGGGCTGCGCAGCCTGCTGAGGGGAGAGGAGGCTCCATGGGGCTGGAAATGGCTGATGCAGCACGTCCTGCTTCACTTCGTGCCCATCGCTGCGAAGCCTTTCTAGTGCGGGGTGCTGCCGTCCTAGGCAAAGCGCCGTTTGGGGGGTGTTACAGGGGGGCCTGCCGTGGGGAGCGTTTGCCTGCAGTGGGGTGGGGAGGAGCGGGGGGCAGCAGGGGGGACCCTCCTCCTCCTGGGGTTTTGCTGGGCTCTGTGCCTGCTGTAGCCGAGCTGCCCGAGTTTGGGTGCCGGGGAGAAGTGAGATCCATGCAGGGAGAGCGCAGGGAGCCCATGTGCTGGGCAATCCTGCACGTGGCATGTGGGGCTCAGCCACGCTGGCTGGTGGGAAGGTGGGGAGCCCAGCATCGTGCTGGGTAGCAGCACGGCATGGCAGTGGGATTTGGGCTGGGTACCAGCTTCCTAGAGCACAGACAGACATAGGGGACAGCCACCGGGACTGTCCGGTGTGCCGTCTCCGTGTGCTGGAGCAGGCTCCAGGCAGCGGGGTCAGGACGGGGAGCCCAGAGCCGGAGGCACCTGGAGCTGGTCAGCAGGCAGGGCTGTCCCTGCCACCTCTCGCTGGCCACTTTCCCGATGCACCTGGAGCCAAGGGGCGATCTTGGGGCAGAAGAAGGTGCAAGGCACAGGCTTGGGAAGGGGAGGGGAAGGCAGGAGCAGAGGGGAGGGATTCGGCAGCCTCTCTGTGCCACGCAGCACGTCCCAGAGCTGTGCCAGGCAGCGGCGGGACCTGCCGAGGCAGCGCACCATTTGCAGCTGGAGCCTGCTGCTCCTGTTCCCTGAGCCGAATCTGTCCCCTGTGCCTCCTCCTGGGGATGATTGAAGCACGGTGCGAGCAGCTTGGCAGGCACGGGTGAGTCCCAGCCGCCACGTGTGGGCTTGGGAGCCGCCGTGCCTACCAGCTGTGGCCCCGGTGCAGGAGCACCCTGTGCTGCGCCGCACCCCGCTGTCACACCGAGCTCCCGGCCCTGGGTGCCCCGCGTGCCTTTCTGCTCACAGGGCTCCTGTGAGCCCACCACAGCGGGTGCTCTGCGGGTGTCCCTGCAGGGAAGGAGGGCTCGCAGGGCTCGCAGCACCCGGAGCAGAGGCTTGTGTCCCCAGGGGAGGCAGGGAAGGGAAGTTTTCCCTTGCAGTTCCCCGGGGCTGCGCTTGCAGGGGTGCTGGCGTCGATCCTCTGCTCTGTGCGCACGGGGGGCTTCACCCAGAGGCCAGAAGCGTGACGGCCCCTGGGTGGCCGTGGGCAGCCTGCCCGCCGGGCCAGCAGCGCTGCCGAGCCGGAGCACGGAGCTCGCAGCCGGTGAGCACACGATAAACAGCTCGCGCGGGTCCTTTAAGTAGGCGCCGCGAGTGGTAAATGATCTTCCCCTATTTAACGTCACAAATCCTCATTCTTTATGGGATAGCAAATTAAGAAACTATGGGGAGAAAAATCCCCAGCGTAAGCATCTTCCGTGTAATAAAGCCCGGCTGGGCTGTAAATCTCCCCAGGCGGCAGGGACAGCACCGAGCCGCAGCGAGGCTCCCCTGCAGCCTGCTGACAAATGTGCCCCGTGCGCAGGCTGCCGGGAACCCCGGGCTGAGCCTTTTCCTACCCCTCTGCACCCCTTACTGGGGGGCAGCCCCGTCCCCTGGGGCGCACAGCCCCGTGCCACGGGCACGCTGCCCGCTGCCCAGGGCAGGGCGCTGGGTGCCGAGCCTGGCCGGGTGGGCGCAGCTGCGGCACCGAGGGTGCGAGGCGAGGCGTGCGGCGGTGCTGCAGGGAATCAATAGCTCGCTTTCCGCGCCATTAAGCGGGAGGCGTCCCCGCGGGGCCGGGGCTCAGCTGCGGCTGGTGGCCCGTGGCCGCACGGTAGCCCGCTGGCACCCAGCCCCGGGGCCATGCTGGCCACCCCTGGGTGCACGGCGGCGCTGGGGACGGTGGAGGTGGCTTTGGGCAGGGCAGGGCAGGTGGTGGCCAGGCCAGCTCGCCCTGGCTCCTCGCAGGCTGTGCTGGTGGTTGTGCTGGAGCCTCTCTCAAAACCACGTTCCCCCATCAAAAGCCTTTTGTTTGTGAGCCGCTGCTGCTGCCGAGGCCGCTCCTGCGAGGGCTGGGGCTGGGGGAGCGCAGAGCTGGCAGCGGCCTCGGAGCTGGCAGCGGCCCTGGCTCTCCTGGCAGGGCCCCCCCGGGCCGTGGGCTGTGCGGGGCTCTCTGCGCCTCGTGCTGACCCCCAGGAGAAAACCCCACACGGGTGGGCAGCGTTGGCTGCGTGCTGCCGGCTGGTGGGGGGCTGCAAAGCGCCGTGTGGGGCCGAGCCCTGCAGCCCCCCAGCAGGGAGGGCACGTACCCAGCTGCCTCCTTCCCCCCTGCAATCAGCGCCGCTCCCGACGCAGGGGACTCTCTCTGACCTTTCCTGCCAGAACCATATTTAATACATGTCGCATTTTCAGCCTGTTTGTACACCTGGAAAAAGCTGGGCTCGTTCCTCTCCCCCTGCCCCTGCCCCACCTGGTGCTGCTGCTCACCCACCGAGGCGTTCAGCCACCCCATTTTGCCTCTTTGTGGTCTGTTCACCACGGGGAGCAGGGGGCTGGGGGCACACATTTCCCTTCCACGCTGGCCCTGCAAGGCCCTGCGAGCCTCCTGCTCTCTGCAGCCCCCAGGTAGAGCTGAGGACCGGGCAGGATGTGTCACCGTGCCGTGCCGTGCTGGCACGTCCCCAGATCTGTGTCTCTGGTGGCGCAGATGGGCTCTGGTTCCTCGTGCTCCTGTCCGGAGCGGTGGCAGCTCTGGCACGGTTACACATGAGCCGCCCGGGCACGGCTCGAGGCGCTGCTTGTGCCAGAAACCGGGGGACTTTAATGCAATTCGTTGCCATTTAATTTTACACAATTCCTGCTGCTTAATCCGCTGAGAAATGCTAATTTATACAATTCACGTCTAAAAATAAATGTCAGTCCAGCAGCTCCCAGCAGTGGGTAGCTGCTCCCCCGAGCCCCCGCTGGAGCCTCGTGTGGGGGACCCCAGCCCGGGGCGCACCCCCGCGGTGCCCAGGCCTTGGGGTGCAGCCCCGGGGCCGGCAGCTGTGGGGTGATGGGGTTATGGGGTGCCACGGCAGGGCAGCGAGGGGCTGGCTGGTCCCATGGGTGTCACCGCAGAGCCCCTCATTGCAGTGGGTCTCGGGGCTCCGTGGCAAGGAGATGCGGGGTGTCACGGTGCTTTGGCTGCCTTTTGGGATGGACTGGGAGGTGCGAGGCGTGCAGGGCCCCCGAGCTGTCTTTGAGGCCCAGTTCCCGGGGCTTTCCCCAGGGAGGGCAGCCTGGCCCGGCGTGCAGCTGCAGCCAACAGCACTCAAGGCCAGCGCCCTGGTGCCAAAGAGGTGCCCGGTGCCAGGGGCTGGCACGGGGACACCCGAGCCGTGTGTGCTGGGTCCGGCCACGGGTCAGGACAGCCCCTGCATGGCTGGTAGACGTGGATACGTTGTAAGGCACCTTTCATTCATGTGGGAGCGTGGGGAAGCCCATACCCCATCTGCCTGGGCTGCCTGGATGCAGCCCTACCTCCCTGAGCACGCAGGGGACGGGGAGAGGGAGGGATCCTGCTGGGAAGCAGCAGAGAGGACAAGCCCATTCTGATGCCCATCCACATGGGGTGGCACCAGCCCTGGTGGCAGCGTGGGGACGGGTCCCCAGGGCAGCGGGTGGGCTGCGAGAGCTGCGGGAGCCCGGGGGGGGGAGCAGGGGCGCGGGGGCGGCGCGGCGGGGGAGCGGAGATGCTGGAGGAGCCGGCGGCTTTCCCACCGCATCCCTGATTGAGATCGGATCACCGCGAGCATAAAAAAGCTCTCTTCATAATTATATTTAATGAATTGACTTTAAAAGCTCTTACACTCTTATCTGGGTAATTTAATATCACACACTTAATAAGCCTGTCTCCGATACGGGGGGGAGCCAGCGGCCGCGACGCCCGCGCCTGGTGTGGCTCCCTGGGGACGCGGGACGTGCGTGCACGGCTGGCCCCACGTGGAGGGCTGGGTGGATCGGGGGACACCGCTGTCCCCTGGGGACAGGGCACCCCTGGGGGCTTGGCGCAGGGGCTGGGGGACCATGGGGCTGGGGGGCACGGTGCCACTGGGGCTGGATAGGGGCAAGGTGAGGGACCTGTGGGTCCGAGGGGGCTCACAGCACCCCACAACCACAGCAGGGGTGACAAAGCCACCAGCCGGGCTCCCAGCACCCCCCCAGCCCTGCCCCACACGGCTCCCCACAGCCAGGGACAGGGACCGGCAGGGTGCAGAGGGTGAGGGCGCAGCGCTGGCGCGCAGCTGGCCATCCCCGTGCTGCCTGGCGGTGCCGGCTGCCGTGCCAGAGCACGGTGCCAAGGCCGGGCGGGCTGCGGGGAGCCACGTGCCAAGGCGGTGACGTGGGGGGGACGCAGCTGCCACCTGGCCCTGCCTGGGGCGGCAGTCCCCAGGAGAGGGGTTCCCGGGCACCCCGCGGGCAGCCCCGGGGCGCGGGGCCGGGTCTCCCCGCGCTGGAACGGGGAGGTTTACGGGGCTGCACTAAGTGACGCAAATGGTTTGAAGCCCATAAAGAGAGACGGTTTTATGTAAGACGACTATATAAAGCTCTGCTGTTCTGCCATTGATGAGATATAGGCCTTTATTTATAGAAGGCAATGTTTGCGGTGCGAGGGCTGAACGCCAGCCAGGGACCCGCGGATAGGGCGTCGAGTCATTTCACATGCAGCTGCCGTCGACACTGTTCACACATTAAAGAAAAAAATTAACAAGTTTGCAGCCAGTCAGGTGGAAAAAACAATAATTGTCGAAAACCGTATTTCCCCCTTTTTCCAATAACAAATAGCTGAAGCGCTGCTGGGGAGGCTTGGGCTCGCTCAGCGCCTGCACAGAGCCGGCTGAGGCTGCGGCACGGCCAGGAGGGGGGCACTGGAGAAGGGGGGGGCACGCTGGGGCCGTGGGGCTCCGGCAGAGCCGGACATCTCCCCAGGGCACCGTGTCCCCTCCCTGCCCCGTGCTCACTGTCCCCAGGGCGCAGGCAGGCACGGCGTGGGGCTGAGGATGCTCTGTGCGCGGTGGCTGCAGACAAAGCCCTGCTGGCTGGGTTTCCCTGCCAGCACCTCCCCGCCCGCACGCAGGGGGATGTGCTGAGGTTATTTCTTGGCCAGATGTGGCCGGGTTCTTGCTGGCGAGCGAGCAGCACATCCCTGTGGTCAGAGCGCCCTGCCAAATTTCGTTTCATGCACGAAAGGAGGAAAAACTTCTCATGATTAATTGCGCAACAGGGGAGAACACGCAGCTCTCTAACCTGCTCCTTGCTGATCGCTGCCCTTTTCTTCCTCGCTGCAAGTGCAGCTGGGGAGAAGGGGGCGAGCTCTTCCCCAGGGCACGCTGTGCTGCACAACCCTGGGGCTGCCCGGGCAGCGAGCGGCGAGCTTGGTGGTGCGCGGCGAGGGCAGGAGGTGCTGGAACAGCCCTCGCTGCCCTCCTGACCCTGCGAGGGGAGGGAAGGCAGGCAGGGCTTCACAGCAGGAGAGCAGTCAGGCTGGTGCTTGAGCTGCCTTCTCGCAGCTCCCTGCACATTGCTGCGGGCTGATGTCCGAGGCTGTCCCTTGCTTACGCTGCAAAACCTTCCCTCTGTGCACTGAGCCGTGCCCTCGGTGTGCTGCGCCAGCGTGGCTGCGGGCACGGCACTGCCTGCCCCCTCTGCGTGCTGCCTGCTTGCAGCAGGGAGAGGAGGAGCGGGGTCACGGGGCCAAGCTGGGGCACACCTGGGCTCTGTGCCCGCACGGCCGGTCCCCCCCGGGCAGCACACACGGGTGGGGAGGGTCCTGGGCACCCCGAGCTCTCCGCTCCCTCCCTGGGAGCAGCTGGGTGCTGAACAGCCATTAAGCGCCGGCTGAGCTTTGATGGAGTCAACAGGTTTTCCTCCAGCGGAACAAAAGGTTACCTGCTTGATTGCAGAGCCGGGAGCACAGGCAGAGGTGAAAAGCGAGGGCAGGAAAGCCAGAGGCCGGGAGAGCTGCGGGTGCCCTGTCTGTGTCAGGGAGCTCGGAGACACTGCCGGCCGCGAGCCCATGGGGTGTGCGGGGCCAGGGGCCCAGGGTGGGAGGAGAGAGCTGGCACCAGCCTCATCAGCCAGAGCCCTGATTAATCACTAGCTGCCAGCCCTCCAGCCTGCAGCTCATTAGTGGTTTAATTCCTGGTGCCCATCGCGCTGGAGGGCCGCACGGCCCTGATTGAGCCGCTGGGACGGGCTGGGGCTGCCCACCAGGGCCAGCAGAGCGGGCAGGGGCAGGCAGGAGCCGGGTGCCCCAGCAGGGCAGCCCTGGGCGCACAGGGATGGGCACGGCCTCGCGGCCCAGCTGCCAGGAGGGGTTTTGATGGGAGCAGCCCAAACCCTGCCCTGGCTCTGGAGCTGCAATCTGTGCTGTTTCTGCCCCAGCTGGAGGAGGGAGGGGGCCGCGCAGAGCCGGGGCCCCGGTGGGAGCAGGGAAGCGTCTCCATCTGTCTGCAGCGCTCAGCGGCTGGAGAGGCCAAGGTGGTCCCCGAGTGGGGCTGTCCCCAGGCCACCTCTGCGCAGGAGGCAGGGCTGGCACGGCATCTGCGGCTGCTCGGGGCAGGGCAGGGAGCAGCCACCTCCCTGGGGACTGAGGACACTGCAAATCCAAGGTGGATGCAAGCATTAATTATGTCCCGGCTGCTCGGCCACCGCCGTGGCTGCTCGTGCACCGGTTACACCGGTGGCATGTGCTGGCTGTCACCCCACTGCGCCCCACGCTGTGCCGTGCCGTGCCGGCCAGCCCTGCTCTGCCCGGCCCCAGGAGGTGAATGGCAGGAGGAGCAGGAGGCAGGAGCGGTGTGAGCACTGTTGAGCAGCCTGGCTCTGAGATCCCACTCATCAGAGAGCGCCTGCACATCCCTGTGCTAGTTAGGGGCAGAGGTTCGCAGGCTGTCCCTGCCCTGCCTCTCCATGGCCCCCTGCCCGTCCCCATCCCATCCCATCCCATCCCATCCCATCCCATCCCATCCCATCCCAGCAGTGTGCACGGTGCCACCCCTGGAGCCCCGGAGCACGCAGCAGTGACAGCCGCTCCGTCCCCAGGTGCCTGCCTGATCTTATCGTGGTGGAGCTGCCTTGCAGAGGGAGTTTTTCAGGCTCTGCCCCCCCGGCGCTGCTGCTGCTCTGACATCCTGTTTCCTTATCACCTGACATGACCTTAATTTACTCCCCAGGCTGACAGCGCTCCGGGCTTCTCCTCCAGGAGCTGGATCTCAGCACCGTGCCCTGCCTCACCCGCTGCAGGACCTCGGCACAGGCAGCGGGAGCAGGGCACAGAGGGCTGCGCAGGGCAGGCAGCACTGGCGGATTGAAATGCTGGCACCGACGACTTCTGTAGCCACGTTATCTCCCAAGCTGGGCAAATATTGGCGGAGGGGAGATTATTCAATAGCAAAGTTTGCAGATGGGAATCACGGCGTGTGATCCCACGGGCTCCGTGCCGCAGCTCGCCTGCTCCGGAGCAGCCTTGGCTCCGTGGGGCTGAGCCTCTCAGGGGCACAGCGTGGGGACAGGACAGGGCCCTGGGCAGCATCCCGGGGGCTTTCCCCTGTGCTGGTACCCAGCAAGGCACTGGTCCCAGCTTCCCTGCAGCTCCCATCCCACCCCACAGCACCGGCATACACGTGCGCACCGTGCCGGGACCCTGCTCAGCCCCACGCAGCCCCCGGCATGGTGGGGCTGAGCTTCCCCAGGTGTGGGCACCACCTGCAGCATCTCTTCTCGTCCTGGAGCCTGCACCCAGCTCCCCTCCCTGGGCAGCTTCTCCATGGGGGCCCTGGTGGCCACTGGGGCTCCTTGGGGGCACCCTACAGCCCCAAGAGGGGTGTCCCCCCCCCCAGCACCCAGCCAGGAGCCTCCATCCATCGGCCCCCGCACCCAGGAGCGCGCGGGCTGGGGAAAGCCAGCCCCTATCATGTTTGTTCCATTGATTTAGTGCCGTGGAGAGGGTTTAATCAGCCTTTAGCCTGCACGCTCCAGCATTAAGAACAAATCCATTAGCCACGAGATAACCACAAAGGGTTGCGCTGAGGCTGGATGAGGTCCCAGCGCCTTCAAGATGCAAATTGGCAATCAAAGATCAAAGCCGTGCAGCTCCCTAATCTCTACTAAAAGGGCTCAGCTATTAACGAGCCCTTTCCCGCTGGGCTGTGATCACCCCACTTCACTCCTGTCCCGATGCGGGGCGCGTTGTGCCGTGCCCCTGGCCCCCGCGCTGACCCTGGGGATGAAGGCGCAGAGGGGACCCGGGCTGTTTGTTTGTGCCTTGCTGCCTGCGGCTCTGACGTGCTGCTGTCAGATTTGTGCTGGTGCAGAGAGCAAAGCCCCGGGGAGCCGCTGGTCAGCGGGCAGAGGGGGCAAGAAGGGAAAGGGGCAGGGGCTGGGGTGGTGAGGGCCGTGCAGGGTTCGCGCGGAGACTTTGGGCGCAGGGGGAGGTGCTGCCGGGTGGTTTGCTTCCCTCTGCTCACGGATTTAGCCCTGGTGTGGCTGCACCAGGTGGCTCAGGTCAATCCCTGTGGGCCCCAGGGAAATCAGCGCTGGGGATGTGGAGTGGGGGCAGGCGCAGGGCTTGGGCAGGGCCCCCTGGGGCTGCGTTCCCCTTTCTGGGGTATTCCTGCCCGGCTCCTGCACAGTGCTGAGGCCAGCTGCAGGATGGGGGCTCCCAGCACAGCCCCAGCACGCTGGAAGCCGTGAAGCCGTCGAGCTGTGACAGGAGCTGAGCCGCCAGCACCGTCAGCAGATCTCGGGCAGCACAGATGGGCTGCCAGCGCCGGGGCACTGCGCACCCGGGACCCTGGCGGAGAGGCACGCACCACTGCCCAGTGCCAGCACAGCACTTCCAGCCCCCATGTGCCTGCTCCAGCTCGGGGGGGCAGCATCCATCCTGCAGCACCCCTCTGCACGGCGGGATGCTCAGGAGGACCAGCGCAGGGAGAGGTTTGGGCTGGGGCTCGGTGCCTCCGGTGGCTCTGACAGCGTCCCCGGGCGGTGGCACAGCCTTGCCCTCGCTCAGCCGGGGTGATGATAAATCTTATCAGCGTAAACCCATCCGCAGGCAGCGGGATAACCCCTGTGACAACCCAGCCTCAGCCACGCTGCGGATTTACAGATAAATAACAACAAAGCTGGAGGGACCAGGCCTGTGCCGGCACCTGCCCGGGGGCACCCCGCGGCCACCCCTGCCACCAGAGCGTGTGCGTGGGGACAAAGCCACGCGTGATGCCGGCAGCGCATCCCCCGTGCCCTCGCCCCGCTTGGGCCAGGCGTGGGGCCGGTGCCAGGCCGCGGGTGCCAGCAGCGTGGCGGTGCCAGGCGGCGCGGATGCTGCCGGGGGGGCGGCGAGGTGTGCTGGCAGGAGCTGCTGCCCCGGGCTGGCCGCCCCGCCTGGGCTCCCGCGTTAGCTGGCGGTGCGGCCGCGCAGCCGTGGGAGCCGTAATGAGATGGAGCAGCAGAAGGACGGCGAGATAAGGCTGCCTGCGCTGCCCCAGCAGATTAAACGCTGGGATTAAGCAGGCGGTGCCAGCTCTGCTGCCTTTTTATCTCGCTGCTTCTCCCCTCTTATTCTCCCGCAGTCGATAGTGAACGGTCTCGGAGCTGTCAGCAAAGGAAATTGCTTGTTAACCCGTTGGGGACGGGCGCGGGGCTGCCTGCACGGCTGCTTTCAAAGAGGAGCCTTCCCCGGGGATGCTTGCTGGCTGCAGAGCGGGGTGGGCAGAGCAGTGGGGCATGTGGGACCTCCCTGCTCCGTCCCCATCCCAGTGTCCCGCTGCCCGGTGCTGGCCCCGTGGTCCCCGTGGGGCTGCACACAAAGGGGCTGGTGGCGCTCGGCTCTGGTGCTGCCTCTCAGCCAAAAGCCCCCAGCTTTTGGGGTGGCCGGGGGAGCAATGTCATGGGGCACGCAGGGTGACAGCAGCCAGAGAGCGGGGCTGGTCTGCGTCAGGCCCCACAGACCCCGGTGCCCCCCTGGGCATCCTCAATGCTCCCTCCGGGCCCCAGGTGGGATGTTGTGGGACGGAGAGGGCACGTCCCCAGGGTCTGTGTGGCCGGGGAGCTGGCAGGGGCAGCGTGCGAGCCCTGGGCAGCCGGGGCTGAGCGCGGCACGGCGCTGGAGCAGCTGCTGCGCAGGGCAGGAGGGCTGAGCCCAAATTGGGAGAGGAAATGGGAGCAATTGGCACGTGCGGGCTGGCAGGAGGAACGCTGCGAGGGGCTGGGATTGCTGTTTATAAATACATCAAGGGAGTAAACACAACGGAGGGAAGAGAGCTATTTCAGCTCGGGGACAATGCTGGCGCGAGAACAAATGGTACAAAGCGGCCCTGCAGAAATTGGGCTTGGAAAGCAGGAGACCAGTGAGGTCCCGGGCCGGCCGCCCCCCAGGAGGGGAAGGCACAGCGCTGAGCTCGCCGTGCTGCCGGGGGCTGGCCAGTGTGCTGGCCCTGGGGGTCCGCACGAGTGCGGGTGCCCCAGCTCTGCCCCGCTGGCAGCACAGCCCGCAGCACAGCTGAGCACTTGGTATTCCAGCCGCGAGCCCGCTTGGCACCGCCGGGGCTCCCACGTCTCCCTGCTGGCTCTGGGGACACGTCCGCGGGGCTCAGCTGGCACGGGCTGGCCCAGCACATCTGCGCGGGGAGGTGGCAGGAGGGGCGCAGCCCCCCAGGGGCGTGCCCGAGGCTTAGGGATTTGGGAGGTGGGCTGGGATGCTGGGGGGGGATGAGGAACATCCCATAGCGAGCCCAGCGCGGTGCTGGAGGGCCCTGCCTGGGGACAAAGGCGTCCTGGGGACCTCATGGGGGTGGCAGCCCCGGTGCAGGAGCTGTGCCCGGTGCCAGCAGCAGCCCTGTGTGGGGCAAGGACAGGGTACAGGGGGGGCTGTGGGTTTGGGGGGGCGATGGCACCGGTGCTGGAGCTGGGGTGAAGCCAAACTGGCTCCGGTGCTCGCCCCTCCGGGGAGCGGGGAAGGGAAATGGTGCGACCGTGCATGAGAGGGACGTTTGCAGAGGCGAAAACATCCCACTGGCTCAGAAAATTGCTGCAGAATCGGGCTTGAAATGAGTTGAAATTGCTGAATCCAAGCGGATCTCATATCCCGGGCAGTTGCAGTGCTGGCGTCAGCGCTGCGGCTTCCCTCCATGGGCACCCAGGCGGGGGCTGTCAGCACCACTGGGGGGGAGCGGGACACCGGGGACACGGCCGGGGATTTGGGGGGGCTCCAGCAGAGCCTGGGCTGTGCTGGCTGCAGCAGGGGCAGCGTCTGTGGGCATGGCATTACCTGGCTGTGCCCGTGTCACCCCGGGACAAGCAGCACCCCGTGCCCCCAGCTCCGTGTGCCCGCTCGGGGAGCACCCTTTGCAATCCGGGGGCTGCAGCCCGTGGCCCGGCTGCTGCTGGGTTGCTGTGCCCAGGGACATTTGTCACCGGGGGGTGCCCGCTCCTGCGTGTTGTGCCCATGCCCTGCTGGCTGCATGTCCCGGGGGGGACACGGGGCAGGAGCACACGTCCCCGGCGTGCAGGGCCCCCACGCGTGCTGCAGCTCCGTCTCCTTTGCATGCAGGCATGCGGCTGGCAGCTTAGCGCGGCCTCTTGTCTCTGCAGAGCAATCAGGATTTGTCGCTGCTTGCGCTGTTTAACGTCGTCTTCCAGAGGCTAAATACCGTGGGGAGCCGTGTAAGCCGCGGAAATACCTGCGTGAGCCGGGATCAGCCGCAGGCAGGCACAATGGGCTTGTAGCGACGAGCATGGGGGGGCTCGGGACTGTGTGGGGCCGGCCCCGGGGACCCCTGCCATGGGAAACCTCGGTGCTGGTGGATGGGATGCTGGTCAGGGATGCCGGGAACCAGCACCCGTGGGGTGCCCACACATAGGGGGCAAGAGGGGGAGCCCCGTGGGGTGGGGGCAGCTGGGTCATGGGGCTGTATGGGGCGGGGAAGGGGGATCCTTCAGCCCCCCAGTTGGCAGCGATCCCCGGCTGGGATCCGCCTGGCGAGGCGCCGGCAGCTATTTCTGTCAAGGTCAAAGTGTCTCCACGGCACAGAGCAGGGAAATGAGGAATCGTGTCGAGAAATTACCTCCCTAATGGGGTCTCCCCTGCGCGGGGATGCCGGTGTGTGGCAGCTGAGCAGGGGAGGCCTGCAGGCGGTGCGGGAGCGCTGCCTCCTGGCCCTGAGGCACACAGCACCCTTGGGTGCCCCGCGAGGGGAGCAGGGTGCCCAGGGGCCGTGCCCAGCGTGCCCGGCAGGACACGTGTGCTCCGTTCCCCCCCGCGAGGCACATTTTTGGGTCATCTGCTGGGGAAGGAACCATCTCCCAGAGCAGGCAGCCCCTGCTCTGCCCTTCCTCCTCCTCCTCCTCGCTCTGCTCCCGCGCTCCCCTGTTATCTAATTGGGTTTGGCATACTGGAAAGCCGAAGCCCTTCAGGCCTGTGCCTGTGCTCTCTCCGGCGAGCTCTCACAGCTGTCCTCGGCACCCTGGCAGCCCACGAGTCAGTAACTCAGCGGGGCGCCGCGGGCACCCCTGCCCTCCCCATGCCCCCCACGGCCCCCCTGCGCCCTGCTGCCCGCCTGGGGCCGCAGGGGACGGCGATGGGGACAGGGACTGAGGCCACCGCTGCCACCACCACCGCCCTGGGACCTCTCCGTCCGCTGCCAGCCCCTGCCCGTGTCCCCAGGTGCCCTCTCCTGTGCGCCCTGTCCCCATCCCTCTCCCGCTGCCACCCGGCGCTGTGCGAGCCGCCAGGGAGCTGGCAGCGAGCAGCGCGCTGACATTTCCTGCGGCCGGGGGAGCTCATCCTCCCTTTGCAGAAAAACTAATATCAAAGCCGCCCCGGCGCGCCAGGCGCTGATGCTATCAGGCCGGCGGGCTCGGGCTCTCCGAGCCGCAATAAATCCCCGGCCAGCGGCTCCAGCAGCCCCCCCGCAACCTCCCGCAGCCCGGGGAGCTGGGGCTGCGCTCCCCAGGGGGGCACCGGGCACCGGGAGCCCGGCGGGGGGCTCGGGGGGTTCGGGGCCGGCCGGAGCGCGGCGGGGCCGGCTGCCCAAAAGCGGGGCCCTGCTGCCCCCTGCCGGATCCCGGCCCCGCGGGGCCCCCCCCGCTCCCTTTCCCTGCGCTTTGAAGCGCCCCTGACGGGCAGCCGGGCCCCCGCCGCCAGCCCCGAGCCTTTGAGGAGCCGCTGGGGGTGCGCAGATGCCGTCCTCGGCGCCGTCGTCGCTGTCCCCCCCCCTCGCCGTCCCCGCTGTGATCAGAGCCGCAGCCGTCACTTCAAAGCGCCCGCCGGGCTCCCACGCAGCAGCAGCCCCCGGGGACGGGGTGGGGGCCCCCAGGCTGCGGGGATTTGGGGTACGGCACCGGGGAGTGGGGGACGTGGGAGGTGACCGCCCCCCCTCCAGGCTTGGCACCGTGTGGGGCAGGGACCCCAGCCCCACAGATGCTTTGCCCCACGTTGGGTGAGATTTTGGGGGGCACGCAGGGCTTTGGGGGGGCTGTGGGGCCAGAGCAATGGGCAGGGATGCTCTGGGGTGCGGCACCCCTGGGTGAGGGGCTCACAGGGCACTGCTGGGTCAGGGCATCCCTGTGCCGGGGCTGCAGGGACCCCCTGCCTGGGGTAGCACAACACCCCTCTACACACCCCCAGCCCGGCTCGGGGAGGAATTTTCCATTCCCGAATCGAGGTTGGGGGAAGGCGTGCGCTTGCACCAGCCCCCTCCTCTCCCTCCCCTCGCCCATCACAGCTCGGGAAGGCGCCTGCCACATCCAGCTCCGGGAAGGTGCGGACCCAAAAAAGCCTCCCGGGAAGGAGACGGGGAGCAGGGAGCAGGCAGGAGCCCCCACCCCCAGCGCAGCGATGCCGCTGCCCCTCTCCTGCTGCCCCGACGGAGAGGCCCTGGCCGCGGCGCAGGGCGGCTTCCTGCGCGCCACCCGCATCCCCGGGCTGCACTACATGGGCACCCGGCCCCAGTCCCGCCTGCGCCGCCTGCTCTGGAGCCTGGCCTTCCTGGCCTCCGCCGGGCTGCTGGCCACCGGGGCCACCGACCGCCTGCGCCACCTGCTCTCGCGCCCCGTGCACACGCGGGCACGCCTGGCCCGGGCGCCCCAGCTGCGCTTCCCGGCCGTCACCCTCTGCAACCCCAACCGGGCGCGCTTCCTGCAGCTCACCAAGCCCGACCTCTACTCGGTGGGGCAGTGGCTGGGGCTGGCGCGGGAGGACCGCTCGCTGGTGCCCGAGCTGCTGGCCGTGCTGGGGGACGAGCGGCGCCGCTGGCTCGAGCGCCTGGCCAACTACTCGCGCTTCCTGCCGCCCCGCCGCTCCGAGCGCACCATGCAGAGCTTCTTCCACCGCCTGGGCCACCAGATCGAGGACATGCTGGTGGAGTGCCGCTTCCAGGGCGAGCGCTGCGGCCCCCAGCACTTCGTCCCCGTGAGTCCCCGCCTCGGGTGCCCAGCGCCAGCCCCAGGGGCCCTGCGGGACTGTAAAGGGGGGCCCGGACCTTATCCTGCTTGCAGAGCGCCCTGCCTGAGCCCTTCCCCATCCTCCCCCTCCCTCTCTCCATCCCCAGGTCTATACGCGCTACGGCAAATGCTACACCTTCAACGGGGACCGGAGGAACCCGCGGGTCACCCGCCAGGGCGGCATGGGCAACGGGCTGGAGATCATGCTGGACATCCAGCAGGAGGAATACCTGCCCATCTGGAGGGAGACCAGTGAGTGGGGCTGCGGGCAGGGCACGGGGTACAGGGGCTGAGGGCTGTCCCGTGGGACCAGCTGCCCACACCCCCTTCCATCCCCTGCAGACGAGACATCGTTCGAAGCTGGCATCCGAGTCCAGATCCACAGCCAGGACGAGCCGCCCTACATCCATCAGCTGGGCTTCGGCGTCTCGCCTGGCTTCCAGACCTTTGTGTCCTGCCAGGAGCAGCGGGTAAGGCCGGCTCAGGGGCTGGCCATATGGGGCCAAGCCGTGGGGACAGCGGGGTGGTGCCGTTCCCAGGGGTGCCGCTTCGCCCCACGCAGCCCCAACCCCTGCCGGGCGGTGGTGATACCCCACAGCCCCGGGGATGTCCCAGCCCCGTGCGTCCCTGCAGTGATGCCCTCCCTCCCCGGCAGCTCACCTACCTGCCGCAGCCCTGGGGCAACTGCCGGGCCAGCGTGCAGGGGGAGCAGACCCTGCCCGGCTACGACACCTACAGCATCGCCGCCTGCCGCCTGCAGTGCGAGAAGGAGGCCGTGGTGCGCAGCTGCCACTGCCGCATGGTCCACATGCCAGGTGAGGGTCCTGTCCGTCCCTGCACCCAGGGGTCACCCCCACCCCATCGCTCGGGCCCCTGCCACCCCCTAGAGGGGAGCGAGCGCGGGGTGGGGTGGGTGAGGCTCCCACCCCCTGACCTGCAGCTTCCCCGCAGGCAACGAGTCCATCTGCTCTCCCAACGTCTACATCGAGTGTGCTGACCACACGCTGGGTAGGTGCGGGGCCAGGGAGGGAGGGATTTTGGGGGCGGGGGGGTGTGTGCAGCCGTGCCCAGCGGTGCGTGCCCCCAGACGCGGCGGTGGAGGACAGCCAGGAGCGCTGCAGCTGCCCCACACCGTGCAACCTGACCCGCTACTGGCAAGGAGATCTCCATGGTGCGCATCCCCAACAAGGGCTCAGCGCGCTACCTGGCCCGCAAGTACAACAAGAACGAGACCTACATTCGGTGAGCCCCAAGGGCTGGGCTGGCAGGGGGCTGGGGGGGACACTGGGAATCTGGGGGTCCCCCCCTGCTGCTGGCAGCATGTGTGGAGACCGGGTCCTGGCACAGCACGGTCCCTGCAGCATCCTCTCCCTGGGGGGACTGTGTTTAGAGGGGGGGCACCGTCTCCTTGGTGTCCTCCCAGCCTGCACGTCCCCACCCCGCAGTCCCACCAGGGGCCATGACGTGTCCCTTCTGTGTCCCCTCCACACCCAGGGCCCCGTGAACCCAGCCTGTGTAACTCACAAGGGCGCCGGGAGCACCGTGGGGCGGGGTGGATGGGAGCTGGGGGAGGCTGGGGGCAATGTGGGTGGTGACCGGCCCCACGGTGTCCCCACAGGGAGAACTTCCTGGTGCTGGACATCTTCTTCGAGGCGCTCAACTACGAGGCCATTGAGCAGAAGAAAGCCTACGACCTTGCCGGGCTGCTCGGTGACTCCCCAGCCTTCCCGCAGGACCCCCAGCTCCCCCTGTCCTGCAGCCCCAAACCCCATTACCACCTCGTTCCCCTCCATCCTTTGTCCCTGTCACCTCGCTGTCCCCCCCCATCCTTTAGCCCTGGCACTGCCGTCCCTCCCTAGCCCAAAGGGGCTGTGCAGCAGCTCCCGGTGACCCTCTCTCCCCTCTCCTCCCCAGGGGACATCGGGGGACAGATGGGCCTGTTCATCGGCGCCAGCATCCTCACCATCCTGGAGATCCTGGACTACATCTACGAGGTGCGCTGGGAGCTGAGCAGGGGCCGGGCTCCCCGGGGAGGGGGTGGCCGTGCAGAGCGGGGTGCTCCCATGGGGTGCTGTGTGCGTGTGTGGGGCTCTGGGGCTGACCCCTCTGCCCCCAGGTGATCCGTGACAGGGTGAGCCGCGTCCTGCGCCGCTCCAAGCCGCCCCTGAAGAAGCCCTCGGGCAGCATCGCCACGCTGGGGCTGGAGGAGCTCAAGGACCAGGTACCCCACGGGGTGGGCTGCGAGGGCAGGGACCTGGGCAGGGTCTCCCCAGCCCCAGTGGGGACGGGACGTGGCTCCCCAGAGCCAGGCTGCAGAGCTGTGGGATGGATATAGGGGAAGGGCCGGGGGGCAGGGAGGGCGCCCCCCTGACGCTGCCGTCCCCGCAGAGCCCCTGCGAGACGCTGGGCCGGCACGTGGAGGGCGCCTACAACGCGGGCATCCTGCCCAACCACCACCACCGCCACCACTACCCGCACCAGGGCGTCTTCGAGGACTTCGCCTGCTAGGCCAGCTGGGGACAGGGGGCGGCCAGCCCCCACCCCGCGCTGTCCCCTCCCCGCCGTCCTCATGGAGAGGCACCGCGGCACAGGGAACAGCCGCGCCGCTCGCCCCCGGCCGTGCCACCGGCACCGCCGCGGCCCCCAGCCCCCCCGCCCAGCCCCTCCGCTTGCCCCCAGGCGTGCGGGGTCAGCCCTGTCTCAAGCACACGGGATGGGGGGGCCGCCCCCCGTCCGGCAGCAAGAGCAGCCCTGGGCCCAAAACTGCATGCCAGGGGGGCTTCGGGGCAGCGGAGGGGTCCCCGCGATGCAGAGCATGCGAGGGGGGGTCTGGGTTTCCCGCGAGCCCCCCCAGGCCCTTCCCTGCTGGCCCCTCCTAGGGGGTCTCTGCCCTGCCCCATCCCCCAGGGGAGGGCCGTGCCCAGCCCCCTGGCCCCCTCCCAGGGCATGTGGCAGGGTGGGGGGCTCCCACCTGCAGTCACACCTGCATGGCACCTCCCTGCCACCCCTCCGGCCCCCAGCACCACCACCACTGTGACACCCCCGGACACCTCCCCTCCTTCCCCAGCCCCACGCAGCCCCCCGGGGCTGCAGCCCCCCGCCCTGTAGCCACCCCCAGCCAGACCCCTGCACTGTGACCCCCCCACACTCCAGTGTTAGCCCCCAGCCCCGTGGACTTCTCCCCGCTCTCCTGCCCCAAACCCTCTCCTCCCAGTGCCCCACAGCCCCCTCCAGCCTCCCCGCTCCCGTGCGTCACCCCGAGCAGGCTGTCCTCAGGCACAGCCACCCGGCACAGCACGGGGGCACCCGTCCTCAGCTCCCCTGGCTGTCACAGCTCTTCCGCACCGTGCACGTCCCCACCCCTGCCATGTCCCCCCTCCCCCGGGTGCTGAGCGCCCGCTGTGCCTCCCCCAGCCTGGATGGGGTCAGGAGGGTGCCCCGTGCCCAGCACAGCCCCGGGGGGGTGGCAGGACCCCATCAGGACCCCCCCTGGTGACCCCTTCCCGTAGGACATCTCCTCCTCCCCCTCCACTGTAGCAGACACCAGCGCAGGGCAAACAGCCCCAAAATATCTCAGGAGGGGGGGGCCGGCTGGCAAAGCCCCCCTCGACACGCACACACGGCAGAGAGGGGGACCCGCGGCAGGAATTGGTGACATCGGGGGAGAGATGGGATGGGACCTAGCCTGGCTACACTCCCAGTGCCCCTAAGACCCAAGAGGGCACAGCCATGCCGTGGCCAAAGCCATAGCTGCAGGAGGAGCCCCTCCACCACCGCGTGTGCCCGGGAGGGTGCCCAGGTCCCCGTGGGGCGGTGGCACGCGTGGCGTGGGACCCCAGCCCCAGGGAACGGCCACCCTGTGCCCACCCCGTGCTCCTGCACCAGCAGCTTGGGTGCAAGCAGAAGCATCCCCGCAGCGATGCCAGGCCCCTCACCAGCACCACAGGGGGAAGGAGGGTGCCTGGGCACGGGGTGCAGGATGTGGCCCCCTCCCTGGCAGCGGGAGCGAGCCCTGGGCAGGGTGGGCACGGGCAGGGCGGCGGGAGGTGGCCGTCGGAGGCGTGCGCCACTGTTTTATAGATGTACAAAAGCTCCCTAATAAAGAGGCACAAGTAGGTCCAGAGCTGCCTGCGTGGCTGGGGGGACACAGAGGGGTGGGGATCCTCACGCCTTCCCCAAAAAAGCTGTGCTCTGGCTGCACACCAGCACCAGGAGCTCTCACGTCGTCTCCACGGGCCGGAGCGCAAGGGGTGTGCCGTGGCAGGGCGGGCGCCCCGGCAGCACCCTGCTGGGCTCTATCAGCCCCATGCAGGCAGTGCTGGGGAGGGGAATCAGGCTCTGCCCACCCCGGGGGCTGCCAAAAGCTCCCTGGGGAGCTGGGGAGGGCAGAGGGGCTGCGGTGGGTGCTCCCCACAGCGGGGCTGCAATCCTGCAGCCCTGCCCGTTGCCAGGGCTCTGCTGGAAGGTGCTGGGCATTGGGGTGCCCCCAGCAGTGGTGCTGGCTGCCCCTCGGCTCCTGGGCGTGTTATCAGCTCCAGGCACGGCCCCTATCAATGAGAGGCCGCTGCTTTCCCCGGCACTGCACTCTCACGGGGCTGACGGCTGCCTGATCCTCCGTCACCCGTCCCCCGGCTGGGGGCACGGCGCAGGTGAGGTCGGGGGCACCACGGTGGGGCCCTGGGGGTGCTGGTGGAGCCCAGAGGTGGGAGGAGGAGGATGAGGTCTGGGCTGGAAAAGGGGGGCAAAGCAGGAACAGCCCTGGTGCTGCAGGGAACGGGGCCCTCCTGCCTCCTCCAGGCCCTGCTCTGTCCCCCCGTGGTGGAGGCTGCCAGCACCGGTAGAGGTCCCCTCGGGGGCTTTGGGTCCCTCCGCCACCGTGCCCTGAGCCAGCTGCCCCTGCAGGATGTCCCCCCGGATGGCCACCCTCATCCACACCAAGGCGGTGACGGGCAGCTCGTGCTGCGCCCTGCCCTGCAGCGAGGACGTGTCGGAGGAGCTGAGCGAGGAGGAGAGCGGCATCGCGCAGAGAGCCCAGCGCGCGGCGCTGGAGGTGCTGGAGGACGCGCTGAGGAAGGAGCGGGTGCTGATGAGGAACCTGAAGGACGTGGTGGTGCTGGCCGGGGAGGGCCAGGGGGGCGAGGGCTGGGTGGAGCGCTACGCCATGCTCACCAAGAAGCTGCTGCGCAGCCTCGTCTCGCAGCTGCAGCAGGCGGCTTTCCGCAAGAACCCCCGCCGCACCGGCTCCTACGCCTATGTCAAGAAGAACGCCTGCGACCGCACCATCTACCTCTGCCCCCTCTTCTGGCAGGCCCCCAGCGAGCTGGAGAAGGACTCGCAGCCCGGGACTGCTCATCCACGAGGCATCGCACTTCCTGGGCTTGCACGACATCACCTACGCCACGGCCAGCTTTCGGGCTGGGGGCGGCGGCGCAGGCCATCTGGACCGAGCGGCGCGTGCCCCTCTTCGAGGCCCTGCGGAAGGCGCTGCTCAACGCCAACAGCATCGAGTACGAGTTCGAGATCGTGCTGAGGCACCGGCAGCCCTACCGGGCCGGGCGCTACGCCTGCTGCGGGGAGACGGCCAGGAACTCCGTCTGCGAGAACGCCCTGCCCCACGGGGGGCTCTCCTGCGGGGCCCCCGAGAGGTGAGCAGCGGCCCTAGGGGTGGGCGCTGCCAGCGGCAGGGGGGGGACAACGGGGTGGCGGGGTGGGAAATGCATCTTGGGCACCCCCAGCCCCACATCCCACCCCAACCAGGGGCTGGGTCCCTATATCCTGTGGGTTTTGCTCCGCTGGGACCTCACACCCTGGGCAGGTCCTGCTGATGCCACCCCATACTCACCCCCCCGCTGTCACCCCAGCCCCGCAGCCAGCCGGAGCACCATCGGGGACACGGTGCGGCTGTCCCTGCTGCCCGCCCGGGACGCCATGCGGAGCTGCCTGCAGGACATGCGGCGCGTGGCGGAGGCCACGGAGCGGTGCCACCGGGCGGCGGCGGTGGCCAATGTCACCGGCAGGGGTGCTGGGGGTGACGGGGGGGGCCACGGCCATCGCGGGGCTGCTGCTGGCCCCCACGGCGCTGGGCACGGCGCTGCTGCTGTCAGCCGTGGGCTTCGGCGTCTCGCTGCTCGGGAGCCTCGTCGGTGCCACCGCCACCGTCAGCGACAGCCTGGGGTGCCTGGCGAGGAAGGACGGGGCGGAGGCGCTGCTGGAGGAGTTCGGGGCGCAGGAGGAGGTGTTCACGGGCAGCCGGGAGCACGTGGAGAGGGCGCGGAGGCTGCTGGAGGTGCTGGGGAAGGACGAGAGCCTGGACGTCATCCTGGGGGTGTTCAGGGTGGTGACAGGGCTGGGGCGCAGCGTCCTCAACGGCAGCAGCTGTGGCCAGGGCCAGCGCGGCGCTGGCTGGGGCCAGCCGTGCCTGTGAGCCTCGCTGGGACGGCCGCAGCAGCTCCTCCTCGGCCTCTCCTTGGCCCTGGACATCTTTTTTGTCACCAAGGACTCGGCTCACCTGTCCCGCGGCGCGCGGGCAGAGCTGGCGGGGAGCATCCGCGCGGCGGCAGGCGTGCTGGAGAGGGACTTCAGCGTCATCGACGAGTTCTGCCAGAAAATAAACCTCATTCTGGAGGAGCAGGAGTGAGGCCGGGCGCAAGGAAAGGCCGAGCCTCACGCCTGGCTGCTCTGGGAAGGCTGCCAGCGAGGCAATGGGATGCGCCCCAGGAGCCCTCTGAGAGTGTGGTGTGTGACCCAGCACGGAGCCCAGCGCGAGCTGTTCTCACCTGCCCCTATCCTGCTCCCACGGCCGGCCCCAAACCCGGTGCCGTGGTCCCAGCAGCCCCATCCACGGGCCAGGCTGCCAAAAAACCCTTCCAGAAGTGCCACAAGAGGTATAATTTGCTCTTAGCTCACCCGAGCAGGGGGTGGTTCGGGGCTTGGGTAGTGCATGGCTCTAAGTATGCCAACAGCTCTACCTTGGTGTGGGTAAACAGCGAGGAGACAGCAGCTCCATGCAGACCGCCTTGCCACGACTAAATGACAGCCCAGGGTTTCTTTTCGCAGCCAACTTCCTCTGACGCTAGTTTGCTTTACATTAGCATCAGGATACTCCTCCAGCGTGTGATCAAACGAGGCTCCTGGGTCTGCTCTCGGGAGAATAAATGTATCTGTAACGCACCTGCATCCGCCTCGTCCCTTCTGTCCCAGATTCGCATTTAAAGGGAATTAAGGATGTGCTCGGGGAAGATCAGAAATAGAAATATTTGGGGCGAGCTAACGGTTAGCATCCGAGCCGTAACAACCGTGCATTAAACACATGCGTTCCTACGCCTGGTTACGGGGAAGGGAGCAGGGACACCTGCAGAGCTGAGAGATCTTTCCTCGGGCAAGGACTGCCACACAGCCCTGGGGATTTCCAGAGGGGTTGCTGAGCACTTGTTAGCTAAAAGTAAGCAGGTTTAGTTAATTTTCTGGGGGATTTCTCTTTGATATGGGAATTTCGTGACCAAGTGCTGAAAGCAGCTGCCCCATAAGGTGCATTTGCTGCAGTGAGCGTGCCCATGCTGGGGACAATGAGCAACCCCACTCCCCACCCCATGAGATGTTGGGGAGCAAAAAGGGGTGGAGAGGGCAGACCCAGCAGCGCTGATTCACAACAGCTCTCAGACGGGGATTTTGGCCCAGGAGCTCTGTCAAAGCTGGTCCCGGGAGGGCAGAGCAGGGCTGCACCACGCTGTGCACCCCCTGCACATCTCCGCACGCCTGGCTGCTGCCACAAGGTGGGCTGCGGGTCCTGCGCTAAGCAGCCAGCCCTCCCGCGGGAACAGAGCACACAGGAACAATTAAACTCCTTTATAATGCTGTTTCATGAAGGCCTGCAAGCCAGTCCTGCGGGAATTTAGGGCACCAGGGATGGCACAGCACAGCCCGAGCTCTGCACCCCTGGGTACAGCCCCAGAACGAAATAACCCCTCACCCCGCAGGGTGTGCCCGAGCCCCTCACACACGCAGCAGCAGCGCCCCAGGGAAGAACCAGGCGGAGGCAGGCGTCCATCTCTCCATTTTATTAGTGTAAACATCCCCCCCCCCCTCTCCCCACTATTAAATACAAACCAGGAGCACAGAGCAGCTCCTCAGTCGCTTTCTCCTTAGGAGATGCGCAGCCGAACCGCCCCTGGAGCCCCTCAGCCCGGGGAGCACAGCGGGGGCCCGAGGGGCGGCAGGGGGGCAGCACGGCCTGGGGGCACGTCCCACGGGCAGGGACGGCTCCTGTCGGAGGGCTGCGACCTCCTTTGTCCTACAGATACTGCGAAGGCCGAGGCGGCCCGGGTCAGGGTTCCCATGGGGAGCAGCTCACGGTACACGAACACGGCAGGAGCACTCCCTGCGCCCCCGGGGGCCTGCAGCTCCTCCCAGCCCCAGCAGCCAGGGCGCTCAGGCAGCTGTCTCCCTGCCAAGTGGCATACGCTAAAACCAACCTCGTTATTGCTTTTTTTGGGGGCCGGTCCCACTGTTCAGGGCTGCACGGGCACAGGGAGGCAGCCCTCCCCGCAGCACAGGGCCGACGCTCCAGTCCCTTCTTCCAGAGGGTGCCAGGAGAGCCAAATGAGCACCAGGAACAGCCCTGCACTGGGGGGGGAAAGGGGAGACGTGTGTGGGATCTGCCCCAGCCCCGGCTGGTCCCCGGTGGCAGCCACAGCCCCGCTGTGGGGTCTCAGTGTCCTGCAGCAGCCGGAGGTGGAGCAGTTTGCAGGGCAAAGCAAGGGGCAGCGCGGCTCCGCTCCTCCCCGCCGGGCCAGCAGCGAGCGAGGCAGCGGCCGGCACTGCTTGGGGTGAGGACGCGGGGGTCCCAGAGCTCAGCTCGGCTCACCCCATGCTGGCAAACCCCAGCCCTGCCCGGGCAGCATCAAGGACCGCTCTCCACAGCCGCAGCGGAAGGAGGAAGACAGATTTTGGGCAGCAGGTCAGGCGGGGCGGGCAGGCAGGCTGGGCAGGGACCAGCCCCTCCGTGCCCCAGGGCTCAGGTGCTGTTCCCCTGCTCCTGCTCGAAGAGCACCATGGCGAGCTGGGAGCGGGACCCGACGCCCTCCAGGCTGCTCTGCACGCAGCGGTGGTAGATCTCCTCGCTGAGCCGCGGGTTGCAGGCCTGGTGCCGGTAGCGCTGCAGCAGGGCAGGCTCCACGGCGCGGAAGACGTGCAGGTTGGAGTACTTGATGAACATGTCGTAGATGTCCAGGGTCTCCAGGATGTCCTCGTTCTCCTGCACGTCGCCGGCCATGCGGGTGCGCGCCGCCATGTAGTCGGCGTTGTAGAAGCAGGCCTCGTGGAAGACGTCGCGGTCGAAGCGCCCCGCGTCCCGCAGCAGGTCCAGCGTGGGGGGAGGCGCCTGGTTGTGGTAGGCGACGGCGGGGTTGTAGCCCTGGAAGTGGATGGGGAAGAAGACCTGCCAGTTGTTGATGGTGTTCATCCGGCAGCGGTTCAGGAAGTCGACGGTGACCTCCGTGCCCACGCCCGCCACGAAGAACAGCGTGTCCACGGGGTGCTTCTTGGAGATGATGTCCATCACCTTGATCTGGGAGGGGGCGTCCGTCTTCACGCTGATCCAGGGGATCTTCACCCCGGCGTACTTGCGCTCGTACTCGGTGATCTGCGCCTTCACGGGGGCAAAGATGTCATTCTGGGTCACCTGCTGGGCCTCGAAGGGGTCGTAGATGAAGAGGAAGGTGAGCACGGCGTTCTCGTTGCTCTCGAAGGCGGCTGCAGCGTAGGTCTCCAGGAAGCGCGCGGCGTGGATCGCGGTCGTGCGCCGTGAGCGGCAGGATGACGTTGATGCGGCTGGCCTCCGTCACGTAGGGCATGGGGATGATCTCCACCTCGCTGAGGGGCCGCACCAGGTGCACGCGCTTGGTGACGGAGCGGCTGTGCCCCTTCTGTGTGACCACCTCCACCTGCAGGTCCAGCGTGTACTCCATGCCGCGCGTGGGGTCGAAGCGCCGGTACCCGTTCACCAGCTGCTGCTTGCGGACGTGCAGCACCGGCTGGTACTTGCGGTTCAGCTCCTCCATGGCCGTGGCCACCACGTCGGCCACGTCCGCCAGGTCCACGCCCTGCAGCTCACACTTGGGGGAGCCGTCCACACAGGCGTAGACCTGATCCTCCGTGAAGTAGTCCCAGCGCAGGACCTCGAAGCGGGTTTTGGGCTGGAACGGGGGAGGGATGCCCACGGGCCACGTGGCGCTGTGGTCCCCGTCAGCAGACAGGCTGCTGGCGTTCTGGATTTCCAGCTGCAAGGAGAGATGTGGAGGAGTTAAGAGTGAATTGTGCAGAGAGTTAGCAGCACAGCACACCACCTTCAGCAGCAGGATCTGCACCTTGTCCCAGCCCGTGCCACCTCTGCTGGCAGACAGCACCCTGCCAGCTCCAGCACCCTCAGTCACCCCAGCCCCAGGACCCATCCGGACCCAAAGCTGCTCTCCTGACACCACTGCAGCCACAGAAGCTGAGCTGATCGCACCCCAGAGCAGCTGCAGGTCAGAAAACCCTCACACTAGAGCAGAAAGCTGGGTGATGCTAGAAAGTGATAGCAGGAAGAGCCCAGATCCTCGCAGCCAAGCCCCATCTCACCTGGAGCTGCTCAATCTCCAGGTATGTCCTCTCCAGCTCCACCTGGGCAAAGTACTTGTGCAGCCGGTACATCTGGACAGGATCCAGCACAGGGTGGACGGTGAAGGCGCTCTGGAAACGGAGGTCGGTCTCGTGCTCGGGGTTCACGTTCTTCCCCAGCTCAAAGTATTGGTAAAGCAGGCCCTGTGTCAGCATGGGGAGAGAGGTTACGGCCGACCCAGACCCACAACCCCACCCCGCCACAAGCAAGCATGGCAAGCCCCAAATAAAGCAGCACACGAAGGCTGGTCCCATGGCCCTGGGAGCCCATGGGGAGCAGGCAGCACCAGGGAGACGCTGCCAAGGGGCTCTGCTCCGTGACAGCAAGGAAAGGGAGAGCGGCAGCCCGTGCCAGGCTGAGCAGGCAGCGATCAGGCTCTCGGAGCCCAGCTCTGTCACAGGACCCACCTCGTGCTCCTCGGTGCAGCTGACGGCCGTGTGGTCGATGATGCAGCGCCCCAGCCACTCGTCGGGCCGGGAGCTGAGGATGTCGTTGCGGCAGGACTCCAGGTGGGGCTGCAGGCGCAGGAGGAGGCTGCGGGACAGCAGGAACCCGAAGCCCCCGTAGCAGTAGCGCCCGTCGGTGTCCCCGCCGATGAACTCCTCGGGGCGGCCCAGGTAGAGGAGGGTGTCGATGCTGAGGTGTGCGACCAGGCGGTTGATGCGGTGCGCCTCGGTGTAGGTGTCGTCCTGCACCAGGAAGAACCAGTCGAAGTCGTTGACGTAGTGCTCCAGCAGGTACCTGACGGTCTGGTACATGTTCCAGATGGGCCGCTCGTCGCCGTGGGTCACCACCGTCATGCCGTGGGGCACCTTGCGGCCCCGCGTGCCCGTGAAGTACACCAGGCGCTCCAGGCGGTGGGCCAGCGTGCGGTTCACGGCCACCGCCAGCGTGCCCAGCGTGCTCTTGGAGGTCAGCACGCCCACCAACAGCCGCTGCCGCATCCCCAGCTCCGTGCTGATGTACCGGGTCCTGCGGGAGGGACAGTACCCCTGAGCCCCCGCGGCGCCGGGCGCGAGGCTCCGACGGGGGAGCGTGGCCGCAGCCCAGCTGCTGGCACCGGGAGGGCGCAGCCGCCCCCAGCTGCCGCGCTCACAATGACTTCCAGGTTTAATTCTTCCAGCCGGCCCCGAGGCAGGAAGCGACCCCCCCCCCCCCGGCTCCCACGCTGCCTCGGCTCACACACTGGCCCCATTCAGCCCCACGGCTCCCCCCCCCCGTCCGCCCACCCCCCGGCAGGGGACAAGGAGGCCCTTTCACCGCCCGCGCCGTGCCATCAGCGGGGTGAGGGCTGGGGACACGCCACCGCAGGGACGCGGCCCTACAAGGGCTGGGTGTCGTGCAGAGCGTGCTGTGCCCGGCCCCAGCAACCTTTGCACTGTGGGGATGAAGTTCTCCAGCGGTGGTGGGCAGGGGAGGCAGCGGGAGGCGGTCACGGGGAAGGGGTCACGGGGAAGGGGTCACGGGGAAGGGGTCACGGGGAAGGGGTCACGGGGAAGGGGTCACGGGGGGGGGGGAGAAGAGGAGAGGTTGTGAGGAAAGGGTTACGGGCAAGGGTCATAGGAAAGGGTTATGGGCAAGGGGGGCATGAGGAGGAGGGTATGGGGAGAAGTTATGGGGAAGGGTCACGGGGAAAGGGTTATGGGGAAGGGGGCATGGGGAAAGGGACACAGGGAGAGGTAATGAGGAAGGGTCATAGGAAAGGGGCCATGGGGAAGGGTTATGGAGAAGGGTCACGGGGAAAGGTGTCATGGGGAAGGGGCCACAAAGAAAGGTTATGGGGAAGGAGCTACAGGGAAGGGTCACAAGGAAGGGTCATAGGGAGGGGGACACAGGGAAGGGTCATGCAGAAAGGCTGGGGGGAAGTGGCCATGGGGAAGGGTTATGGAAAAGGTTCATGGGGAAAGGTCATAGGGAAAAGGGCCACGGGGAAAGGGTCACAAGGAAGGGTCATGGGGAGGGGGCCACAGGGAAGGGGCCACAGGGAGGGGTCCCGGGGCACTGCTGTAGCTCAGGTCCCCTGGGGAGCCCCCCAGCAGCCCAGCAGGGGGACGACCCAAGGGCAGCAGCCCCCCGGCAGCTGCAGCTCCCCCCCAGCACCCCCTATTCCCATTCCCATTCCCATTCCCATTTCCCCTCGCTCCCCGCACCTGACGGCCTTCTTGGCGGCCCTGCCGGGGCTGGGCGGCCTGTAGGGCACGACGCGCGGCTCCCAGCTCTCTGCGCCCAGCCCCGCGGGCACGGCGTTGGGCCTGCGGGCCGCGTTGCCGTTGTGCCTCCCGCCGTCCTGCGGGCCGCCCACGGGGCCCAGCGGCGAGCCGGCGGCGGCTGAGGCGGAGGAGGAGGCTGAGGAGGAGGCGGCGGAGCGCGGGCGGGCGTCGGTGCGCGGCGGGGCCCCGCAGGGCTCCTCCACCCAGGTGCCGCTGAGCAGGCTGAGCGTGAAGCCCAGCGACACGCCGATGGCCACCGGGCCCGCGGGGCGCAGCAGCGACAGCAGCAGGGACAGGCGCATGGCGGGGACGGGACCGGGACGGGGACAGGGACGGGGGACGGGGACCGGGACCGGGGGCGGCTCCCGCGGGCGCTGCCGGCGCCGCCGTCCGACGTGTCACCCCCGCGCCCCGCCCCCCGCGTCACCGCCGCCCGCCGCCAATGGCGCCCGCCCGCCCGCGCCGCGTCACCGAGCGGGGGGGGGAACGGGGGGGATGGCGGTTGCTAGGAGACGGCGCGGCCGCGGGCACGGCCTGCGCGGGGGGCGCCTCACGGAGACACAGGGACAGGGACACAGGGACACAGGGACAGGCACAGATAGGCTGCAGGGCGCCTCAGGAGCCCCCAGGCCAGCCTCTGGCCCAGCACCAACCAGTCTGACACTGAACCCTGTCACTGAGCCCTACAGCTAAAGGTCTTTTAAAGACTTCCAGGTGTAAAGACCAGCACTGCACTGCACAGCCCATCCCAATGCCCAACGAGCCTTTCCATAAAAATGTTCCTTCCTGATGTCCAGCCTGAACGCCTAACGTCCAACCTGACCTCTAATGTCCAAACTCACCACCTAACGTCCAACCTGACCACCTAACGTCCAACCTCACCACCTCACATCCACCTTCACCATCCAACATCCACCCTCACCACCTAACAGTTCAACCTCACCATTTAATGTCCAACCTGACCACCCTCACCACCTAATGCCCAACCTCACCACCCAACATCCACCCTCACCACCTAACCTAACAGTCCAACCTCATCATTTAATGTCCACCCTGACCACCTAATGTCCACCCTCACCACCCAACATCCACCCTCACCACCTAATGCCCACCCTCACCACCTAATGTCCAACCTGACCGCCTAACATCCACCCTGACCACCTAATGCCCACCCTCACCACCCAACATCCACCCTGACCACCTAACGTCCAACCTGACCACCTAATGCCCACCCTCACCAGGCACACAGGACAGCAGACCAACCCCACCTCGCTGCAGCCTCCTTTAAGGTACCCGTGGAGCACAATAAGGTCGCCCCTGAGCCTCCTCCTCTCCATGCTGAACAAGCCCATTGCCCAAGTGCAGCTCGTTGTCACAGGCCTGGTTCCCCTGAATAGCAGGAGGCAGAGGCAGCCACATGGAGAGCAGCTTAACAAAGAGCACATCAAAAATACAAACAGCGGGAGCACGGCAGGGCTGGGAGATGCCAAGAGGGAAGAGATGCAGAAATGAGCAGAGATTTTCCATGGGAAACGGCCAGAAAGCGAGTGTGGTTGTAAACAGCCAGAGTTGCCTTTGTTTTCTGTACACAAGGAAGCGCAATAGAAATAGATACTTTTGATTTCCTTCCCAGATTAAAATAGCTGATATCGATTGCCTTACACGAACCCTGATCATTTTACACTTGTGATGGGAAAAGGGGAGCAGGGAGGGGTCATTCTGGAAGTGCTGCTGCCGATCTGGGCTTGCAGTCAGGCGCAGGGAGGGAGCAGGAGCACGAAGCCTTCACAAACAGGACTCTGAGTTGGGAAAGCTGAATGGAGACAAAGCCACGGGCACGGCAAGGCTCGTGCCAGCTGACAAGCCTTGGGGCAGCCTCCCCTGCCCTCCCTGCAGCTCCAGGCTCCGTCTCTCCCCACACACCAGGCAGTGGCCGAGGTAAGGGACCCAAGCACGGCCCCGAGGAGCTCCCGGGGGGGAGGCAGCCCCCAGGCAGCTTTGCCGTTCCTCTGGCAGCCCCTGCAGCCCCCGCCAGCTGCAGCTCCGCGCTTTGTCTCGGGCTGGCACGGGGCTGCGGGGGGCTGCCAGGGAACGGCTGTCGCTGCCAAGAGCCTGCTCCCTGCCAGGAGGGGCCGTGCCCGGGGGTCTCAGAGCCACAGCTGGGAGATGCAAGCCCAGGGGGGTTCTGTCCCCGCAGAGCCCCGTGCTCTGCCATTTACCCCCTGTGCCGGGCTCTTGCAGGGGTGGGCAGCCTCCGGATGTGCACCTAACCTGCTTTGTTAAACTCCCCGTGTGCCAAATTCCCCATGGCCCTGGGCCAGGCCACCTCGTACTGTGGGGCCATGTGTGCCCTGCACCTATATGGACATCGATGTGTGTCCTTCCCTGCACGCCCCAGTACCGTACCCCTGCAGTTTTCACACCCCCAGCCCTGCACTGTGCCCCCTGTGCTCAGCACCGCCCTGTCCCCTTAGCACAGTGCCTAGAGCCCACAGCCTGTGCAGCCACCTCCCAGCATCACAGCATCACAGGATGGGTTGGGGTGGAAGGGGCCTTAAAGACCACCCAGTTCCAACCCCCTGCCACTGGTTAGGGTGCCACCCACTAGATCAGGTTGCTCAAGGCCTCATACAACATGGCCTTGAACACCTCCAGCGATGGGGCACCCGCGGCTTCTCTGGGACAGCCTGCCCCAGTGCCCCATCACCCCGAGTGCAGAATTCCCTCCTAGCCTCTAACCGGGACCTCCTGCCTTTTAGTGTAAGACCACCAGGCGCACCCTGCTCAGTGCACAGAGCAGCACCACACCCTGCATACAGCATGGCGACACTCCCCAGCACCTGTCCTGGGGCATATCCCACTGCCCACCCCACCACCCACCCATCACCCACCCCATCACCCACCCCATTACCCACCCCATTCACCCCCATGGGCCAAGCCCCGCCCCCTTCCCCCAAGCCCCGCCCCCTTCCCCAAGCCCCGCCCCCTTTCCATAAGCCCCGCCCCCAAGCCCCGCCCCGTGACGTCACGCGGAGCTGTCCGCTCAGCACCATGCGCGGGGCCGGGGCCCGGGGCCGCCGCGGGGCCGGGAGCGGAGGTGCGGGGCTGGGGGGGGGGAGCGGGAGGGGGGCGGCGGGGAGCGGGGAGCGGGGAGCGGGCACGGGCGGCGGCCCCCGCGGGCTGGGAGCGGCCCCCGGGGGGGCGGCGGGAGGGCGGGAGGGCGGCCCCCGGGGGGGGCTGTGCTGGGTGCCGGGGCGGTGCCGGTGCCCCCGGGGGTGCCGCCGGGGGGGGGGCGGCGCTGCCGGGCCGGGGGCTGGCGGCGGCCCCGGGGCCGAACAAAGAGCGGGGCGGAGCGGGGCGGCCCGGCAGCCCTTGCGGCCCTGGCGGAGCCACGCCGCGCCCAGCACAACGGGGGGCCGGCAGCGGGGAGGGGGCGGCGGGGGGCGAGCGTGGGGACCCCCGTGGGGAGCCCCGTGGGGACCCCCTGGAGCGGGGCCGGGGGGCGGCCCCCCCGCCCGTGGTGCCCGCAGCAGCCGGAGCCCGGTGCCGGGCTAAATTGGGATGGGGACGCTTGTGGGGTGCCCCCCCGTGGGGTGCCCACGCGTGGGGATTGGGGCTGGACGGGGCTGCGTGGCCCCCGGTGGGGCGGGGTGGGGGGCACTGGGCTGCATGGCACGGCCGGGGGGGAGCCGAACAGGGCCGGGCGTGGGGCAGCGAGCCCCTAGCAGGGGGCTGCGGGGGGCTGGGGGCTGCACGGCGCTGTAGGGGCAGTGGGGGCAGCGTGGGGGCCCGTGGGGTGGCAGCAGGTGGGCGAGCGCTGCCGGCGCCAATGAGCAGGCGCTGGGCTCCCCTAGCAACACTGCCCGCGCCAATGGGCGCCGCAGCCGCTGCAGTGCTGCCTGCATCGCTGCTGCGCCCCGACCCCCGGGGGCACGGCCACGCGTGGGGCAGGGGGCTCCGGGCTGCCCGCCCTCCTCCTGCCCCGCACCGCGCCATCGGGCGTCGCGCCCGGGCTCAGCGGGTAAAGTCCAATCCTGCTTAGCGTCCTCCCCCGGCATGGAGAGAGGGGCTTAGGCAGCCCCCCTGATCCCCCCGGGATTAGGCACAGTGCTCAGCCCTCCCTCGCAGCCTGCTCCGGGAGGGTTTGTCCTGCCCTGCCTGGCCCGACCGTGGTTTATCCCCAAATAAAGGGGCTGGCAGCCAGTGGGATGCAAGGATGGGGTGAGAGGGCAGCAAGGAAATGTGCCCGGTTGCTGCCCTGGGGAGGAGGTGACTGCGCACGGAGAGGAGCAAAGTGAAGCCTCGGGGGGATTAAAGCCTGGCACAGTGCGGGGCACGAGGCTGGTGGCAGCACTGGCAGCTGGGGCTGCTGCTGGAGAGCCCGAGCCCGTGCCGGCCCCACAAAGAGATGACAGAGAGGCACTGAAGTCACCGCAGGTCCTGCGTGGGAGGGCGTCCTCGCCTCATTGTGAGCTGCCCGTGTTCAGGGCAGGGGGGGAGACGTGGCGTATTGCAGCCTGTGCCCTCTTCACGGGCCCTTCCCAGTGACTTGGGGGGGTGGTTGCTGTTGTGGCCGGCCCCGAGCTGGCTGCTGTAACGTGGCACTTGGAAGGACGGAGCTGGCACGGGGACAAGTGGTGACATTAGGCTGATCCCAAACAAACCGAGCCTGGAAGCGCGCCAGGGGAACAAAGAGATGCTGGAGCGGCCTCCAGGTGGGAGCGGGCAGACAGCAGGCTTAATTGGGCTTAGGCTGGAGCTGGATCAGTCTTTGCAAGGGATTATGACCCCTCCGTCTGTGGAGGCACCGCGGGGGCCCCCGGGTCCTCCTGCTCAGCGTCCTGGCACGGCCGTGGGCAGCGTGGCCGTGGCGTGCCCACACTGGGGAAAGCCCTGGGGCTACGTGGGAGCGGTGCATGGGGTCGTGGGGAAGGGGCAGCAGCTCCCTGTGGGCCCCCGCAGGTCGGCGTGGGAGGGCTGGGTCTGGTGCAGGGACCTGCTGTTCTCTGAGGACGCTCGGAGCTGGAGCGGGGATGAAAAATAGCCAGAAATATGATTAGGGGATTGGTGAAAATGCCTTAGAGTACAAGCGTTAAGAGCTCAATCTGTTTGGCCTATAAAAATAGAAGATTGAGGGGTGACTTAATTACTGAGCATAATTACTTCGCAGGCAGAAAATACCAGGTAGTAAAAGTCTCTCTCATCTAGCAGGGAGAGGACACGCGGGAGCTGGGGGCAGGAAATGGGAGCTGCGGGCAGGTTACCAGGCGCAGCACGCGAGCCACAAAGCTCCCCGGGGACGGGCACGGCCTCCCGGGGACACAGCATCCTTGCAGCCACCTTCTGGGCCATGGCCAGCTCCTGCTCGGCGCCAGGGCGGCAGCACGGCCCTGCTGCCGTTCCCCAGCTCCCTTTCTCCCCAGCCCGGTGAGC